AACCTAAGCTCTTGTTAGAACGCAACTCCCACCACTTTCATCCAGTATCACAGGCAATGAGTTATAGTCCAGCACCAGCTGGTGGGGCAAATCAGTATGCATATCCTTGCTTTACAGCCTTTGTCATTTATCATGTGTGTGTGTGTGAAATATACATTGTGTACATCTTTAAAACATCATTGTTAAATTTGAGATTTGAGAAAGTCCCAAAACTTATTAAGGGAGATCCTGACTTCAGAAGCACACACAAGGCAACTGCAAACACAACACAATAGTTATATATCAGGGTCCCCTTGGTTGACCCCACAAGTAGCACAATATAACTAATGGCAGCTTTCTTAGAACTCAGATACTACTGATCAGTGAAGAATTGTTGGGAGTTTTTTTTGCTGCTATGAATGGAACTCGAAGAACGTATCATTGATTTGAAGCCTGGTATAATGTTACCGTATATATCTGTGAAAAGTAGCCTGTCCTATACAGAGAGCAATCATCTCTGAAGGGGATTTGGCCTTTAGAAGCACACACTTGGTACAAACAATATTCATCTGGCCCCCATGGGTGATGCAACATTTAGCACAAAATACATGAGAACAGCTTTTTGTGGGCTCAGATAATGCTCAATAAGGGATTGAAGAAAAATGTTTCACTGCTATGCACAATCTGAGTTCAGCACACATAGTCCATGATTACTTAATTCAATCTTATTGAAAGAAAATAAATACTGTGCTTGTCAAGAAACCTTCCCTATACCTTCTTTAAAGTACAGCACCTTCCCTAAATACGCCGGGCACTGGACGGTCCCCTCGATTACAGCACCTTCCCTAAATACACCGGGAACTACACATATCCCTCAAATACAGCACCCTCCCTAAATACACCGGGCATTGTACCCTCCCCTTAATTACATCACCCTCCCTAAATTCACCAGGCATTGTACCCTCCCCTTAATTACAGCACCCTCCCTAAATACACCGGGAACTACACATATCCCTCAAATACAGCACCCTCCCTAAATACACCGGGCATTGTACCCTCCCCTTAATTACATCACCCTCCCTAAATTCACCAGGGATTGTACCCTCCCCTTAATTACAGCACCCTCCCTAATTACACCAGGCATTGTACCCTCCCCTTAATTACAGCACCCTCCCTAAATACACTAGGCATTGTACCCTCCCCTCAATTACAGCACCCTACCTAAATACACCAGGCATTGTACTCTCCCCTTAATTACAACACCCTCTCCATATACACCAGACAATGTACCTTCCCCCAATTACAACACCCTCCCAAAATAAACCAAGTACTATACTTACTAATGATAGCATTATCCAACTCTGGGTAGTATTATTCTGTTTAGTATTATCATACTCTGGATACTATACCTGTCAATTTTCATTTCCCACTTTAGTGTATAAAGTCTATAGACTCTCTTCATACTGCTGTTCGTGTCATATCTCTTTATGGGCTCTAGCTTCTCCTATTGGTTGACGAAGCCCTTTACACCTTTCGTCAAAAGTACTCTCAGATGTGCTAAAACATTTTTGATTGGCTTGAGCAAAACGCCCCTATTTCCTTCTCCTCAAAAAACACTTGTATCATTGAGAGTGAGTGAAGACTCTTGTCTTCCTTCTCCCCATTTACCCCCCCGTTCCAGTTATATCATATCTGTTTTTGCCTGCACCCACCCCAGCAAGCATCCTGTTACCACTGACATACAAATATTGCCGCGCATATGGGTTCTGTGTCCAGGAGCACCTACTGAGACTTCTCTGCCACCTTTAGACACAACCCATGGCTTACCTTATGTACACCTTATGAGAAAAAGTTCTGATTGCTTAGATATGTGAGACAGCTTAATTGGAAGTGGTTTGGAGAGCTTGGAAATAGTGAGTAAGATCTTCATCAGTGTGAGACCAAGAGTTTGTGATCATTTCACAATAAGGATACAGCTCCTCAAACGGTAGAACGCATACTATAATCACCTGTAACCAAGACCGCCTTCCTGTTCCCTGGACAAACAATTGATTGATGAAACAGATGAATTAGTTTTCTATCCCAAAACTACTCTATCCTCTATTGCCCCCACCATCCAGTAAGTCACCTCCCCAGCCATTTGCCTTTGAACCCTTCCAGTCTTCATACAGGTTTTTCTATATGCAGGCATGTAATATGCAGATATATATTGCTTTGCCCCATTACAGTGTTCATTCTTTTTCCATACATCCTTCATCATTATGGCTCACAGAACGTGTCCAAAAATACATATCTGTGTTAGTGAAGGCATGGAGCGGTACTCCCTCACTCTTTACTCCAACATTTATAGATGATGGTGAGGTTGTTACAACATATCCTATGATCTACTTCTACATGCCTTCCAAGGGATGCCTTTCCTTGTTTGACTTCGGTAGTTATATCCCGACTCCTTGCTATTAGAAATCATCTTAATTCTAGTGAGCTGAGGGCATAAATTATTTGTTTAATGTGGATCAAGGTGTTCGTTTGATATACATCACTATGGATAGGGGATGTTCTTTTTCAATATTAATCTGAGCCTATTTTTCTGGGAGACTATCTGTGCCAAAAATTCTAAATTAGAACCATCTCAACCAGTAGAAGCTCAGAATAAAAATCCCATCTTCTGCCCATAGTTCATGTTTTTGGAAGCCCTCTCATAAAGGTTTCTGGTTACAGTGTGATTCACCAATAGACAATAAAGGCAGAATATGTACTTAAGATAGGACAGAGAGTAGTGTACATGCAATAACCAAGTTGTAATATGGCCTGTTAAAGCAAATGTTAAAATTACAAATGAATGGCTCAAAAAAGGGCAAAGAAGGCCATTATACTCCCATCATTAGCCAGATGCTTTAACCAATATCAGTGCACATAGATCAGTAGTGTTTGCAAAGTTCTTAACTCTTTTATGTGTGCATAGAATTAGATTTGAGGAGAGATGGATTGTGGAGTAATAGAGAAGGAAGGACATATGATCATGCAACCGTGTTGCTCACATAAACCCTTTGCACGAAGATGATCGAGCTAGTGGCTCCAAAATCGTAGTCCTATTTGCCAAATATACTGTGTGGAGCTGTTTGTGGTTTTTTTGCACTTTGTATTTTTTATTTTATTTTATTTCTGCATTTATGAGAACTGTGTGATGAAATGTATTCAGATGTGTTGCATAAACTATTTTAAGAGAGAAATGTTTATTTTATTTATGTGATTATCATTCTTCATATATCACAAACCATTAATTTAATAAACTGACCTTTCATCTTTTCTAGTTTTTCTTAATTAACTTGTCTCTCCATCTCCTCTTGTTCTTTATATCAGCTGCATGTATCTTAATTTTGCTCAGTATAATCTCTTTGTAAAGCTCTCTGTTGTATATCACAGCTATATCTCTTTTCATTGCTCTTTATAAAGAAATACTTGACTATTCTTTTGCACACTATATCCATTCATTTTAACTCTTCTTGTTACTACATACAAGTTATATAAAATCACCTTATACCAAAAAAAGTCACATTTGAAAAATAATGCATACACCCATTACCTACCTACTTTTTATGTTCTTCTTCCAACACCATTCTTTCTGTTTTCTTCCCACCTTTCCCATTGCTGATCCTGTAACCTGACTAGTGTCCATTTTCCTCTTCCACACTCATCATGTTGGATCTGTTTCTTCCCCCTCACCTAATTAGTACTTGATCGTGTCTGGCCCATATCAGACACTTTCTTTACTCACTAAAGCCATTTCCTGGAGGTATTGTCCATTTTGTTTACTCCATATTGCATTGTCTCATCAAAGTCAAGCAACAACGCCTCCCCTTTTAAGCAGGACACTGATAGAATACTCACAGTATGGGTCGACGTGACAACCTACCTGCAGTATGAATCTTTCATACATGTCCTATGAGAAAGGAGATGTCAACTCTTTTTTTTGTGCAACTGCACTCTGCCATGAGATGCCACAGGCTGACCTCTCCTCTGTTTGGGCTTGGGGAAGCAGGGAGGGCCAGGTTTGGATAGGGATTCATTAATTAATCCCTTAATATAATGGTCATTTTGCTTGTAGCTTTTGCGTGTGTTTGGTCCTTGTTTTGGGAACATGACCGTACCAAGAGGGGTGTGTTGTTTGTGTGCGCGCCAGGTGTCCGTCTGCTCTCGTTTTCGTCTGATCCTCCATCATTGAAGAGAAATAAACAAAATATAAATACATATAAATATATATAAATATATATATCTTGGAGGTTCGAGGGTCATCGCTGCTGAAATTTCTCTCCATCAGTTAGTGGCTTTTTTTCCGTTAACTGGAGCAAAGTTTATTTATTTATTTATTTATTTGTACAGAAAAGTTAAACAAGTGACAGAAAGTTTGTAAGATATTGTGCGTGTGTGATTTACTTGTAAAATATTTTCAAATGGTTTATTACAAAGAATCAGTTATTAAATAATGTGCATATTTTCACTTCAACTAGGCCTGGCTTGATTTATTTATTCTTGTGTCCGCTAACTTCTATGTGGTGTTCGTGTGAATGTGTGTGTACCTTTGCAAACAAAGAAAAACACATGTTACATATTGCAAAACAGGATCAGTAAACATTACAGTGAGTAAAATGTTCATGCGCGACCATAAGATTATCACACAATTCCAAAAACCACCAGTGGGAAAAATCACTAAAACAATGGAAACAGAACACAGACTCATAAGCAAATAACATTGACACACAAAAAAGAATAATTAGAAAACAAAGTTTGTGAAGAATGCAAGCAGAGTGCAAAAATCACAGAATGCAAGGGCTTGTTAGTAACATTTCTTCTGGTGTTGTCCCACAGACTTGAGGTGCCCTGCAGGTGATCTGGTAGGTACCATGACTTGTAATGTGGGAGGAGTGTCACTGATAATATTGGTGTCCCTATCATGGGGGAGCCCCTAACAGATAAGGGCACCCCCGTGAACCGTTGACTCCTGGAGCAGCCCTCAACAGCAGAACCAGAGTAGAGTCCAAGTGTCCACCAGGGAGGAGAAACTCAACATCTTGCTATTCTTCTTAACAAGTAATTTAACCCATTAAGGCCCAAACATCTGGAATAAAAGGGAATCATGACATGTCACACATATATCCTTAAGGGGTTAAAGCTGACACCCCATCTGTATTATTTGAAACACGGATTTGGGTGACTAGCTTAGGCTGCCTTCTTCTGTCTAGTGTTGCTTGGGATAGATCATTAAAGACCTGCACCTGTATATTATCAAATGAAGTGGGTTGACTTCTTGCAGTGTTAGCAATTTTAACTTACAGGGTTATTTACTAAAGTGAGTATTTAAGGTGAATTTCAAATTTAATGCCAGAGAAGCTGGACAGAAGGCATAGCTGACTTACAGAACTGTTTTTACCTTAAATTCACATGGAATTCTCACCTTGTCTTCTGCCCCATGTGTCAGTGTGTGTATCTGCATGTGTGTGTGTATCTGTGTGAGTGTGTCATTGTTTGGATCTGTGGTCTGTACATCTGTATGTATGTCAGTGTTTGTATCTGTATGCCTGCATGTGTATTAGTGTTTGTTTTTGTGTTAGTGTTTGTATCTGTATCTTTGTGTGATTTTGTGTGTCTGTATCTCTATGTATGTAATTGTTTATATATGTGTCTCTGCATCCGCATGCATGTCAGTGTCTTTATCTGTATGTGCGTCAGTGTTTGTATCTCTGTATCTGCAGTTGTATCAGTATAGGCCTGCATGTCTATCTGGGGGAGCATGGAGAAGCATGGCGAGGGGCTGGGGCAGAATAGGAGCAGGGGAGGCTGGGCAGAGGAAAAACAAGGGGAGCTTGGTACAGAAAATGAGCAGGGGGACCCTAGGGCAGAGGAGGAGCAAGGGGACCCTAAGACAGAGGAGGAGCAGGGAGAGCCTGGGGCAGAGATGGAGCAGGGGGAACCTGGCGCAGAGGAGGAACAGGGGGGACCTGGTGCAGAGGAGAAGGGGAAGCCTAGTGCAGAAGAGAAACCAGGGGCCTGGTGCAGAGGAGAAGGAGGGAGATCCTGGGGCAGAAGATGAGCAGGGGAAGCCTGGTGCAGAGAAGAAGCAGGGGGAGCCTGTGAAGAAGAGGAGCATGGGAGCCTGGGGAAGAGAGGGAGCATTGAGCAGAGGAAGAACATGTGGAGCCTGGAACAGAAGAGGAGCAATTGAAGCTTTGGGTAGAAGAGGAGCAGGGGGAGCCTGGTGCAGAGGAGAAGGAGGAAGAGCCTGGGGCAGAAGATGAGCAGGGGGAGCCTGGGGCAGAAGATGAGCAGGGGAAGCCTGGTGCAGAGGAGAAGCAGGGGGAGCCTGGTGCAGAGGAGAAGCAAGGGGACTTTGGAGCAGAGTGGGAGCCTGGAGCAGAGGAGGAACAGAGGGAGTTTGGAGCAAATGAGAAGCAGAGGGATCCTGGAGCAGAGAGGGAGCCAGGAACAGGGGGAGCCTGGAGCAAACGAGCAGGGGGAGCCTGGTGCAGAAGAGAAGTAGGAGGGGCCTGGTGCAGAGGAGAAGCAAGGGCACCCTGGAGTAGAGTGGTAGCCTGGAGCAAAGAGGGAGTCTGAAGCAGAGGAGGAACAGGGAGCGCTTGGAGCAAAAGAGGAGCAGAGGGAGCCTGGAGTAGAAGAGGAGCAGGAGGAGCCTGGGGAGAAGAGGAGCAGGGGGACTCGGGTGCAGAGGAGAAACAGGGAGAGCCTGGGGCAGAGAAAAAGGGGAGATGAGGCAAAAAAAAATGTATATTGAAATAATAGCAACTATATTTTGCCAATATGAGGGGTACAATTTATGGAAATGGGCAGCCAGGGGGTACTCAAGTAAAAAAAGGTTGGGAACCACTGGTCTAGGGCAATCCCTTTATCAGTTTTAAAATTAAAAAAATACTTAATTTGGATATAAACTACTGGTCCTCTCATTCTATTAACTATATTAATGATCTATTTTCACCTTCTACCCTTTTATCCTTTTCACAAATTAAACCAAAATTCCACCTAAGTGACATTGACGCCCCTATTTACGAACAAATGGTAGGTCAAATTATTGATCATTTTGATATTTTTCACCGGGATCCGAATTTCAAACAATTGGAACTACTAAATTTAGAGGGGATCTGGCCAAATTGGTATCCTGTTTCATATTTTCTGGACATGTCCAAAAATTTTAAATTATTGGCAATACATTTTAGAATTATTTATCTCCATCACAGAATTTTCAATTGATTTAATCCCCAGGATATCATAAACGTGTTATGTTGGGTCATCTTCTTATTTCAGCCACCTACGCTATTCGTTGGATGTTTTATTGCATTCATTTGAATAAACAAATTATTTTTTGTAGCTATTGAAGTGTGCATCCTGATCTTTTGTACAAATATGTTTATTGAGGGCATTTAAGGGAGTGCCATGTAAAGGTTTTTACCTGATTGTATAGTAATGATATAATATTGTTTATCCTCCATGCATTTTTGTTGTTGTGCAAAATACTCTTTTCACATGCATAGCTGGCCCTTCTCGACCCGCCGCAGACTGCAAAGAGTAGAATGTGTGTGGAACAGTATGCACATAAAAGAGATTGTTATTGTAAATAAAAGAGATTGTTATTGTAAATAAAAGACATGGTTGATAGAATTTGTATTTTGGACATGGGAAAATCCTTTGTGATTCATTTTTCTAAATAGCAGCTGGCACCTGACACTTAGCTCACAGGGTACATAGATTGTCATGCAAAGTATTCTTTATCCCTGGATGTTTGTATTCTCTTTTTTACACATGTTCTCTGTGGCATTACGATTGGTATAAAGATGCAACGATTGTTACAGAAAACAGGAATCTCTAGAGATCTTTGGTTAGGAATTCAAAGTGAATCTTTTCATTTTTAACCAAAGTACCCAAATTGAATACAGGAATGACTTGGTGAATGTTTCAAATTTGTCTATAGTCGTAATTCACTTTGAATTCCCGACATTTTAAATTTCTAATAAGCCAATATATAAAGTGCGCACAATGATATAGACACCCAATAATAGTGGTATTAAGTATAAAAGAAAAAGGAAAATACTTCCCCTCTTATTCTGTAAGCGTAAAGAATACAATTATTGAGGCTTCTTAAAACATCTTTTATTATTCGTATTTTTCATTTCATGTTAAAGGGACACTATAGTCACCCAGACCACTTCAGCTCAATGAAGTGGTCTGGGTGTCAGGTCCCTCTAGGGTTAACCCTGCCTGATATAAACATAGCAGTTTCTCTGGGGTTAAGCCAGCCTCTAGTGGCTGTCTTCCGGACAGCCACTAGAGGTGCATCGGCAATGATTGACACATATTATGCCTCAATCACGCAGAGTGTCCATAGGAAAGCATTGAAAAATGCTTTCCTACGGACACTTTGAATGCGCGCGCAGCAGTGCTGCGCATTCAGCGCCGGTGACGTCAGACAAGGATGCTGACGTTGGCGGGGGAGGAGAGGTAAGGGAACCCAGCGGGGGAAAAGGTTGAGTAGCTGAAGGGGTTTTAACCCCTTCAGCGCCCCAGGAGGGGGACTCTGAGGGTGGGGGCACCCTCAGGGTACTATAGTGTCAGGAAAACCAAGCGGTTTTCCTGACACTATAGTGTCCCTTTAATATGCTTATAATTATTTGTCTGTAAAAAACAAACAAACTAACTGGCTGTAGCTGTGAATATTCACTTGGACTGCAATTCCTATCATTTTCAGCCTGCAAAACCATTTCATAGGAATCATAGTACACAGCAGCTGGAGTGGCGCTATAGCCTAGTAATTGCAAACCTTAGCACTGGAGCATTCCTCGCCGTCATTTGCTATGATGCTTAGTTTCAGTTTACATTGGGACTGCAGCATGTATGGGCTATATTTTCCATTACTGTATGAGCATCATGGGTAATATAGTCCACCCCAGCTTCAATGGAAAAGGTTAGCCATCTCTGTTAAAATATTTTTCTTGTTTGCAGCAGATAAATAAAAGCATGAATCAGACTCATTTTGAGGCACAAAACTTTTATTTTAAATAACTGGTATCACAATGTTGTAATGTTTAAATTATAGCTTAAATAACAGTCTGATAGTTACTCATGGTTGGGTTGTCCTTGTGGTGAAAGAATACTACGGACTTAGGAACCATTGCAATGTCAACGTGTGTAACATTGGACCTCAGTAGTGTCAGGATTAGGAGCTGATGAGGTGAGGACCAGTATATTATCCGTTTTTGTTTTGTACACGGATGAGGCTGAGACACAGGCCGCATGCTTCCCAGCATGGGTCGCAGAGACAATGCACGCATGAGCTCCAAAACATCTTCAGACAGGACAAATTCATCTTCCAGCAGTGCACACAAGGTCCAATCATCCAGATGTGACAGCACTGAATGCAAGCGAAGTCCAGGGCCCAGCAGAAGGCCAGTGGGCAGCCGCATAGAATGGACAGCACCATGTAACAACAGTTCTTCACCCCGTTGAATGTCTTGAAGGACATACCCCATACCCCGTCAATACTGTGGGTTCCCTCTGGCTCTCCAAAGGTATCTTCGAAGAGGACCTGGTGAGAAAAGACAACAGTATTAGGTGATTCAACATCCAACAATTAAAACGAAATTGTGTCAAGGTTTCAAGTTATATTATGATCGGTGCCTGTTTCTTGATTTAAAATTGTTGTCCCCAAGGTCATGCTATTTGATATGCATGAGTTCATAAAGTGACGCTTTAACAACTTCATCTGATTGTCCTACCCCCAAACCAAATATTAAGCTAAATAAAAGGCTTGGAGGTGTGGCTTCAAGCCCTCTGGGTATAAAAACTGGGAATCTTATTTCTCGTGTCTCTATCTGTAGCATACAATGACGCCACGCGTGCATGGGTCATCGTGTGTTGGCCATAGAGAATCATTGTATTCAATGATTGTCTATGGAGGAATTGTAGGTGTGCGCATGCACCTGCATTTCCCAATGCTCCTCTATGAGGATTGGTCTGTCATCCTGACGCAACCCAAGAGAAAGGTTGTGGCAGTGCTGAAGGAGACTCGACAATGTTGAAAAGGTGAGTTATTCATTTATATATATTTTTTTAATTATTTATTTTTTTAATACAGATGTGGGGGGGACCTAAACTATCTTGGTACTTCCTAATGCTATAGTGTTCCTTTAACTATGCCATGCACTCAAATTATTGAATTATTTTATGAGATAAAGTGTGCACATGAGGTAACTCCTTTTGTGCATTGTACTATCTAATGGGCACGATCTACTGCAATATAGAAAATAATTGAAATGATGAGTATCTCTTAAGAAATACCAATGGATGTGTAGCCCCCGGCCAACCTTGTAATTATATGATTTCCCTTGTCTTGTTACCTTGCAATCTGTTCCTGGTTCTGCCTGTTTTGTACAACTTAAAAACCATTGTTAATTATTGTGTATTCCCCTTACATAAAAGGGAAAACAATTGCAAAATTAATTCAGAGAGAGTTCAGATTAAAGGAACACTCCAGATCCCTAAAGCCATTTTGCTGAAAAGCTTTACATGTAAAGAGTGTGTCCTCTTTTTTTTTTTTTCAATGTGCATAAAGCATAGATTTAAATAGAAATTGACACTCTTATAAATTAACCTAGTGACCCCTGGCTTTAAAGCAGACAACACATCAAATTACTTCCTGTTTTGGTTGGCTCAGTGGAGCTAAACTCAGAGGCAGCAACTGCTTAGAGCATCTGCCTTGCAAAGACCTCTCATTGAGCTGCATTGGGAAGTCTGTGATTGGACAGACCAGTGGCGTACTAAGGGGGGGGGCAGTCCGCCCTGGGTGCCACACACTTGGGGGGTGCCATGACTAGGGCGGCCTTAGGATGTGTGATTTGTGTGGACGCACAGGGCGCCCCACACACGCAGGGGCCCCAGAACTTCAAAACCAGACACATCTAAGGAAAATGGGGGTGGAGCTAATATGCAGTGGGGGCAGAGCCACTCCAGCAGGGGGGCAGAGCTAAACACGGCCTCCACCTGCTGCTGTTACTGCTGCACATCGAGGAGAAGCAGGATGGAGTTCCTGCTTCCCCAATTTACAGACTCCAGGAGCTTCAATGGATCCACTCCTCCTGCGGCCCATAGGTCAGTAAGTAAGAAAGAGAGACGGAGAGTTTTGTGTGTGTGACTGCATGTTACTCTGTGTGTGTGTGTGTGTGTGTGACTGTCTGCGTGTATGTGTGTGACTGTCTGCCTGTGACTCTGTGTGTGACTGCCTGCGTGTGTGTGTGACTGCCTGTAATTGTGTGTGTTTCTGTGTGTGACTGTCTGCGCATGTGTGTGACTGCCTGTAATTGTGTGTGTTACTGTGTGTGTGATTGTCTACCCGTGACTCTGTGTGTTACTGTTTGTGTGTGACAGTGTGCCTGTGACTCTGTGTGTATGACTGTCTGCATGTGATTGTAACTTTGTGTGTGTGTGTCACTATCTGCCTGTGACTGTCTGCCTATAATTGTATGTGTGACTGTCTGTAACTCTTTGTGTGACTGTCTGCCTGTAACTGTGTGCGATTGACTATGTGCCTGGGACTGGACTCTGAAGACTGTTGCTAATGTTGTTTTAAAAAAATGAATTCTATTGTAAGGGGCTGAGCAGGGGCTTTAGAGGGAGAGGCAGGTCTTTGTGGGGAGGGAGTTGCAGGGGTTTGTTGAAGGGCAGGCATGCGTGGGATAAGCATATGGCTATTCTAACTATAAGATAAGGCCAGGGACTAATGAGAGTATTTAGAAAATTGGGCAGACTAGATGGGCCGAATGGTTCTTATCTGCCGTCACATTCTATGTTTCTCCAGGAATGGTGTGAATTTTTTTACAACCTGAAATGTTGACCTGAAAACAGAAGCTGTCCTAAAAGAGTATTTGTTTTGGATGAATGTTGCTGTACATAGTGCCAACCATTCCAGTTTTATGGAGTCAAGTGCCAGCTTGGTACTTTTTGCTTTGTGTGTCTCTAGTGCAGCATTTCCCAATTGGTGTTGGGTTCTGCGAGAACAAAACAGGGTTTCTGTCACGATTTGCCCATCAGGTGGCCCATGCACTTAGGTTCAACCAATGTGAATTGCTGAACAGGGGCAAGGTGCCGCGGCCGTTTAAGAGAGCAACCTGCAGTATCAGATGCTGGGAGGAAGTGACAGCCAGTCACTTGCTCCCAGTCATAAAATGCGCCATGCTGGAGGGAGTGAGGTGCTGCAGGCTCCACACACTAACCTAAGCCTGCAGACAAAAGTTATGCTATTAGGAGGGTGGCGGCAAATATAAAAATCATGGCCTATATGTATCTGTCAGTGTGTGTATCTGAGTGTATGTGCCAGTGTGTGTACCTGTGTGTCAGTGTGTGTATCTGTGTGTTTATGTTCCATTGTGTGTATCTGTGTATGTTTCATTGTGTGTATCTGTGTGTGATGTTTCATTGTGTGTATTTGTATGTGTGTATGTGCCAACAGGTGGGCCGAGGTGGCCATGGGCCGAGGCCGGCAGGGAAGATCACAGGATGTCTCCTGCCAGTCTATGCAGGGCCGGTCCTATCCGAGCACTGGCCCTGCTGCATTCCATGGCGGGCTGGCGGGGAGATCAAAGATCTCCCTCACTGGCCCACATACAGTATATTCCTTGACAACGCTCCGGGTCTCGCGAGATTGAACTCTAGCCTCACAGGCTAGAGTTCACTCACCACTTAGACCACCAGGGATGGATGGCAGCAGCAGCAGGATCCCCCCTCCCAGGCATAAGGTAAGCAGGAAGGGGGGAAATAATCACCCAAGTCACATCCGCCTCACAGACACCCCTAACACTCACGGCACCCTCACTCACACACACTGCACCCCTGACACTCACAGCACACACACACACACACACACACTGCACCCCTAACACTCACAGCACCCTCACTCATACACACTGCACCCCTGACTCTCACAGCACCCTCACTCACACACACTGCACCGCTGACACTCACAGGACCCTCACTAACACACACACACTGCACTCCTGACACTCACAGCACACCCACACTGCACCCCTAACACTTACAGCACCCTCACACACACACTGCACCCCTAACACTTACAGCACCCTCACACACACACACACACACACACACTGCACCCCTAACACGCACAGCACACACACACACTGCACCCCTGCACCCCTGACACTCACAGCACCCTCACTAGTACACACACACACACACTGCACCCCTGACATTCACAGCGCACGCACACACACACACTGCACCCCTGACACTCACAGCACACACACACTGCACCCCTAACACTTACAGCACACACACACACACACACTACACCCTTGACATGCACAGCACACACACACTGCACCCCTGACATGCACATTACACACACACTGCACCCCTTACACCCCTCACTCACACACATTGCACCCCTGACACTCACAGCACCCTCACACACACACACTGCAGCCCTGACACACAAAGCTTCCTCACACGCACATAGCACCCTCACGCAAACACAGTACCCATCACACATACACACTACACCCCTCACACACACACATTTCACCCCTCTCACACACACACTACACCCCTTACACGCACACACAGCGCACCCTCACACACTGCACAATATGCTTTCCTAGCATTTTTGTCTCCTGGTATCCCAACTATGGAGACACCAGAGACAAATTTCAAGCAAACACAGTGCAAGCATGTTATTGAATTTGCTTGTGCTGTGCAGAACAAATACAGTGTCTTTTTCTCATGCCAGAGCTCTTCAGCAGAGCTCTGCGCATGGTCTACCCTGGAAGAGCATTGAACCAACATGCTCACTTTGTGATGGAGCATGCTTGTCATTGGTGATGACAAAACACACCCTACCTGGCCCCGCCCCCTTTTTAGTGGGCCGCGGTAATTAAAAAATGCCTGGGACGAATTTTCTTCCCAGTCCGGCCCTGTGTGCCAGTGTGTATCTGTGTGTGCAGGGCCGGACTGGCCCACCGGGATACCGGGAAATTTCCCGGTGGGCCGCGGCACCTGGGGGCTGCTGCCACATAGGTGGCATACTGAGAGGGGGCCGGCCGCGTTCCAGACTGGAGCCGCCGGGCCGGGTGGCAGCTTGGCCGGTCCGGCGGCACTCCAGTCACTGGCTGCTGATGGCTGATGGTGGAGGAACCTGTCTACCATGCTCCCTCGCGGTTCCTGTGCTGGGAATTGTGGGAACCGCGAGGGAGCATGGTAGACAGGCTCCTCCTCCTTCAGCCATCAGCAGCCAGTGACTGGAGTGCCGCCGGACCGGGGAAGCTGCCACCCGGCCCGGCGGCTCCAGTCTGGAACGCGGCCAGCCCCCTTCCTTCTTTAAGGTAAATTGGGGGCAGGGGAGAGACACAGGAGGGGGGAGAGACACAGGGAAGAGGGGGGAGGGGGGGGAGAGAGACACAGGAAAAAGGGGAGGGGGGCCAGGAGACACAGGGACAGGGGAGGGGAGGGAGAGGGGAGAGACACAGGGAAAGGGGGAGAGGGGAGAAACACAGGGTGATGGGAGAGACAGGGTGCTGGGAGGAGAGGGGAGAGACACAGGAAAGGGGAGAGACACAGGACAGGGGAGGGAGAGGGGAGACAGGAAAGGAGGGAGGGAGAGGGGAGAGATTACAGGGGAGGGAGGAGAGGGAGAGACACAGGAAAGGGGAGGGAGGAGAGGGAGAGACACACAGGGAAAGGGGAGGGAGAGGATGCAGGAGGGAATAGGGAGAGGGAGAGACACAGGAAAGGGGAGGGAGAGACACAGGGAAAGGGGGGAGGGTGTGTGTGTGTGCTGGATGATGGGTGTGATGTGTGTGATGAGGGATGATGTGTGTGTGTGTTAGGTGGGGAAGCAATTTTTTTTCCAATTTATGTGTGTATATTTTTTATTTTATTCCCCCCTCCCTGCTTCTTACCTTGTCAGGGAGGGGGGAGATCTCATTCCCTGGTGGTCCGGTGGAGGGAGCCAGCCACTGCACACGGGGACCCAGAACTCTTTCTGTTCCCTCTCCAGCTCTGTCTAACTCTCGCAAGACTCGCCTGCGTGCTGTGGTTACCATGGCAACGCTCTGGCGGCCGCGGGTCTCGCGAATGTGAGAAACAGAGAGGGAACACAGAGTGTGCTGGGCCCCCGTGTACAGGTAGCAGGGCAGGTCCTTACTTCAACCCGCACTCCTGGCTTTACCACAGATGGTTTAAAGTTTGATTTAGTTAGATGTGTTGAATTGCTCAACACGTTTGAAATGAATTCAAGTTGAATGTTACTAATAATGGGCGAGAAGTTTATTAGGCCACCTTTATTCAACTTTTTTTAAAAGCAGGTTATGGGGCAAGGATGTCCACTTTCATGGCCACTATACTCAAATTTTAGCTGATATGAACAAATCAAATTCCTTTTGCCCCAAACAAATCAGTCTGTCCAGGATTTACCTATGGAGTCAATGACAGTTTTCATTAAAAAAACAGCCTCTGGTTATGTCAGATGTGAATTCACCCCTTGGAGTTTGAGAAGTATTTTGGAATGGAAGCACTAGATCACGTTAACAAGGTTAAAACAAACAATAAAAATATTCTTGTTTTGAAACCCCTTAAAAATTATACAGATATTGGGCATGCAAAAATCCAGCTGCTTAAAGTGCCCCTTTAAATTGGACTGATAATTTACAGATAGCTTGATTAACTTAGTTACAATGCATGTACTTTAACGCCTTCACGTCTCCAATCATGTATACACGATTGTCAGCGTATGCATTCAAACCCCACAATCGTTTATACAATATATTAACCATTGCAAGCCTATGAGTGGGCTTTTTACGTTGAAGTACTTTTTAATTTTAATTTACCTGTTCTAACTCTGTATCTGCACACTATGCTGGCGCGACGCATTATGGGGCTGGTAAATATTTTTTTTCCAGGGCTGCTTTTAATTCCCATTCCGGCCCTGTGTGTGTGTGTGTGTATGTGCCAATGTGTGTATCTCTGTGTCAGTGTGTGCATCCGCATTTAAGAGCCAACACTACATCCAAACACACCTCTGTATGCAAATGCAAACATACAAACACACCCCGGTGTTAAAAGCTGCAATTATATACACCAACTCTACACATACAAACATACCTGCTCCTAAGTACTACAATCTGTTTACCATCTGTAGAAATTAGTGTCTATATATATATTTATTTATTTTTATATAAATACATATATATATATATATATATATATATATATATATATATATATATATATATATATATATATATATCTATATATATATATATATATATATAAAAGTCCAGACTCTGGCACTCAACCCAAAACAAAGAAATCAAAGCAATACTACCCGGGTGCCTCCAGGCCGATAGATAAACAAAGTAAGACAGGAGCACTCGCTTGGATTTTCAAAAATGTATTATGAAGTTTTCATCAACCTTAGATCAACGTTTCGACCCATCTTGATAAAGACCATGAAGAGTCGAAACGTTGATCTAAGGTTGATGAACACTTCATAATACATTTTTGAAAATCCAAGCAAGTGCTCCTGTCTTACTTTGTTTATATATATAGATACCAAAAATGAAATTTGTCAAAAAGTAAAACATGACACTCTGCTAATTAACAGGTTTGTGGTGTGTGCACAAATATTTTTGGGGTTCCACAATGTATTAAACCGATAAAATTATTTACAAACACCAACTCTACACATAAAAGTACAACTACTCCTAAGCATTACAATCTGTTTACTATCTGTAGAAATTAGTGTATATATATATACCAAAAAACGAAATCTGCCAAAAAGGCAAAAAATTACAATCTGCTAATTAAACGGTTTGTGCTACGGCGCAAAACATTTTGGGGGTTCCACAATGTTGGTACACAATGCCAAAGGGTTCCACAGGAGAAATGAATTAGGAACCTCTGTTCTAGTGCATGTAGAGTTAACAGACAGGACCCCTGGTGGAACTAAATCCACACCTCACAGCATTTCAAATAGACAAAGAGGGACACTTTACTTTTAGGGGTGTGAGTGGGGGTGACTGTCCTTCCTAAATAGGGACACTTGGCAGGTATATGAATCCCTATAGCTCCCCTGATGCCTTGGCTGCCAGTTCAAAAACATTTGCCTATTTGAGCCTGAACTAGTACAATGTTAACATAAGCTGGTTCAATTACTAATGGATGAATCTCTGTAATTAATACAGTGATATCCCATGCTGTCAGCCATAAATCCTGCTTATTTGGCAGCAGTATTAATCCCTACTGGTATAGTGTATGGCATTATATTTAAGAACAGGATCTTTAAAGAAACCTACCGGTTTATTTATTAAACTCCAAATTGAAATTTGAATTGCAGCATATTGCCCAGTTGTGATTATAGTAAAGTTGGATAAATCTTCCCCATCAGCTGTTTAAACCCTTGAGGACACATGACATGTGACATGTCATGATTCCCTTTTATTCCAGAAGTTTGGTCCTTAAGGGGTTAAACCAATGTATTGTTAATAAACAATGTATTTCTGTAATGTATTATTTTGTGATTGTCCCTGACTAAGCGATTATCCTGGAAAATCATCATTGACTTATACTAGCTCTCTAGAAAGCAGATTAATAAAAGTAAGATATGCCGCAGATATTTATATACTTCCAAGAGCTAGATAATATTCTGCTACAATAATATTCCATCCATGAGTAATATACCAAGATGCCCACAACTCCATATGTTCTAATCTTGAAACCCCCAAAGACCCCCACTACCATAATTGGTGCTATACTCACCCTGACATGCTCATTCATGTTATTGGGGTCACGGTTCTCCATATCTAAAGGCATGGGTTCGCTCTGCATGGATTTTGGCTGAGCCATGATGCTTGGAGAAATGTTCTGTAGTTAGGGGAGGCCTGTCTCTGCCTGTCCCCATACCTGTATTTATACCTGGAGGTTTCCATGGGACTGAGCATCAAACAACCCCGGCACCGACACATAGTTACTCCACACACTCCTAAGCAAAACCTGCCTGGGCTGTTATGGAAACCATTGCGAATACAGGCTAATGGGGGCTGAGTGCAGAGTAAGGTAATTAAAACACACCTGAATGGAATGGGAGAGGACTATGTTATTCTAACTCCATATTATGTGGAACATACACACACACACATATTTATATATATATATTCCAAGTATGTAATCGGTCTGTATTCACGGTCTTCTTTAAATAAGTTTCTTTTATTGCATCAAAAAGGGTCCAGGGAGATCAACGTTTCAGTCCCTAACCGGGACTTTCATCAGAATCAGGAAGAAACCTATTTAAAGGAGACCGTGCAGATCTATTACATACTTGGAATATATGCTAAAATTGTCTTTTAGGTACTGGCACCCGACTATATAATTTAGATTCAGCCTGAGTGCAAGGACACATCCAAACTATATGTATATAGTTTGGATGTGTCCTTGCACATATATAGTACATTTTATATATATATATAATCCAGCGCACTCACTCACTAAATATTTTAATAGTTAATAACAACACCTGACTTTGACAAAAATAATGGGGGTTTAGTTACAGTATATGATCATACATTGCATAAGCCTGCCACAACGTCAATGTACCCCATTTTTGGCAGGTTCTACTCTAACACCCTAATTATTATTATTATTTATAAAGCGCCACCAAGTTCCGTAGAGCTGTACAATGGTTGGACTAACAGACACGTATTTGTAACCAGACAAGTTGGACAGACAGGAAAAGAGGGATTGAGGGTGTATGGGGGTGCAGTGTGTGTGTATGGGGGTAGTGTGTGTGTATGGAGGGGCAGAGTGTGTGTGTGTGTGGGGGATACATGTGTGTGCTGGGGTGTGTGTGTGAATGGAGGGGCAGTGTGTGTGTGGGGGGTAAATGTGTGCAGGTGGGTGTGGTATAGGTAGTGTATTTGTAGGGGCAATTGTCAGGCTGGGGTAATTTGCATAAAGGTGTGTGTGGGGGGGGTAAATGTGTGTGTGTATGGGGAGGCTGCTGTGTGGTGTGGGGTCTGTGAGGGTAGGAGGACAAATTAATAAATATATACTTTTTTTTTTTTTTTTAATGTAAAATAAAAATGATATCCCCCACTCCCTGCTTACCTTTGCCTGGGGGGAGGGGACATTTCCTGTAATCCCTGGTGGTCCGGTGGGGAGGCCATGGTGGTCCGGTGGGGAAGCCATGGTGGTCCCAGTGGTCCTAAGAGGCTTGCTTGTTTCCCTACTGCGTTGAGTAAGCCTGAGTGATCCTAAAATGGTTAAGGAACTAGTTGCTTTACTAGTTCCTGCAACTCTCCAACCAGGAGAGAACCAAAACACTGAAGATCCAGAGTCCCAGTAAATGGGGTAAGACTGGCTTGGGAGGAGCAGATGTGTTTGAACAACCCACGGGACAATCCAGCAAGGGGCAAGAATTGTTTGAGGCTGGAAGATTCTACACAAGCCTCAAAAAGTATGCCTACATATAACATTAAGTGTTGTTCAATGCAAAGAATATGGACATATTGCAAGGACTGTCCTGAGAATGTTATTGCAATGGAATGGAATGTTGGTGATAAGGGGGATCATTACTCGCTTTTCTCTCGCTCAGTATATGCAGTAACCAAAAATTATGGTCTGAAGGGCCATCCCTGGTGCACTGTTAGGGTAGAGGGAAGAGACCTAAATGCTTTACTAGATTCTGGAAGTATGGTTACGCTTCTAGACCAAGGTGTGTTAAGAAATATTCAAATAAATGACTCCCAGATTCTAGAAATTGCCTGTATACATGGTGACATACACCAGTACCCTACTGCTGAGATAATTATTGAGACGCAAAGTGGCACTCATACAGTTGGTCTGGTAAAGCAATTAGTCCATGAAATGATAAATGGCAGGGATTTTCCCCATTTTTTGAATTTATGGACAGACGCTGAGCAGGATAAATCAGTACCAATAGAGGACGCTGTTAGTGACTTTCCATTTTTAGATTTATTGGGGGGTGATTTGGACAGAGAAATTGCTGCTAAAACCAAGCATTCAACCCCTATGAAAACCCTAGTTGGAAATAACACTCAACAGAGTGATACAGGTCCATCTAGTAGCCCTGAACATGTTCTAGAACTGACTGAGCTAGAGGTTAACCCAGGTAACTTCAGAGCTGCACAGTGGGAGGGCCCCACTTTATCTGAGGCTAGACACCGTATCTTCATGAGGAATGGGACCCCTGTTGATAAGACAAGAGAGAGATTTCTCAGGAGGTTTTATTGGCCAGGTGTAATTGAGTCAATTACACATTATTGTTCATCATGTCCTGATTGCCAATTAACTGCCCCTCTTACAACATATCATAGTCCCTTAGTACCCTTGCCCATTATAGAGGTTCCATTTGAACGCATTGGTAGGGACATTGTGGGCCCTCTTATAAAATCTGCTAGAGGACACCTGTATATATTAGTAATATTAGACTATGCTACTCGTTACCCTGAGGCAATACCTACGTGTACAACTTCAGCAAATGCTATTGCTAAGGAACTAATATTGATGTTCAGTAGGGTTGGTATTCCCAAGGAAATACTGAGAGATCAGGGAACTCCATTTATGTCCCGAGTTACAAAAGAATTATGCAATCTCCTTAATATAAAGCAGCTGAAAACCCCAGTATATCACCCACAAACATATGGTTTGGTGGAGAGATTCAATAAAACCCTAAAAGCTATGCTTAGAAAGGCCATTGATAAAGATGAGAAAAACTGGGATTGCCTTTTACCTTATTTAATGTTTGCTATTAGGGAAGTCCCTCAAGCCTCTACTGGGTTTTCACCTTTTGAACTCTTGTATGGTAGAAATCCTAGAGGATTGTTGGATATAGCCAAAGAGACTTGGGAACATGAGTCTACATTTTTATTTAAATTGCCAAACCTCTTAATAAAGAAAGACTGCGATTTGTGTGGTGTTCCTATCAATAAGACTGTGTGGTTATATGGTCCCAGGTCACTATATATATATATATATATATATATAGTTAATACAATGCTAAACAAAAATCTGCACACCAGTCAAGCCATAAGACTTGCTTTTCCCACAGAAATCCCAAATCAGCAGGGATGTTACAACCGCAAAGGATTCTGGGTGGGCATATGCAAATTAGTTTAACAAAGAATCACATTTTTGCCTCATTCCATTTTAAACATGGATTCCTTTTAATTTGTGCTTGCAGTATACAACTGCTTGGAACACAATTTAGGATAAGATGCAAAATATATATATAAACTCCATTCCACAGTACTTTGCCATAGAGTGGTTTTACTAAAGCATCAATATGTCATTGTATTGACTAAATTGCTTACAAATTCATAGATACAAAAAAAAAAAAATAATTGAAAATCATGTTTCCTTATTTCACTGTATTTAGTTTTATTTATTTTTCTTTAGACAGGTGGTTTTAAAGTGCACCTATCATAGAATGTACATTTCTATACACTGGGTATGGGTAAGCCGTGACAGTTGTAGTTCTGTTCTATGTCATGGCAGCTTTGGCACTCTGAGGAGTTGAGTATTACAGTTTTTAGAGAAAATAATTGTATTAATATTTCTTACATTAGAAGCTGTGACCTGGTTCCCCCTGAAACCTTCCTAAAATAAAAAAAATACTGCTTGATTGGATGTGGAATAGGGGGACAGGCAATTGACGGAGTGGGATGAATCCGTGAAATCACGATGGAACACTTTCTGCCAAGCACTTCCATGCAATATTCTCAGCATTTAATGAAGGCCGTCATGTCCCGGAAGCAAAGACTCCGGATGCTGGGCGAGAAGGGGAACAGTCAGCCAAATAGCTGTGTTCCTACTGTAATAGTCACCACACAGAATGCAGGCTAAGTTCTAGGTGGCTACTAAGCTTGAATGTGAGTATACAGTCTGTGTGTGTCTATAATAGGTGTGTATAATATGTTGGTTAGTGCATATGAAAAGAGGGCAGGATAGTTGGTACCCACTGGAGCCAGGTAAGTGTCAAATGATTAAGAAACATTTTGACTATTTACCATAGGATAGACTCCTGCCAACATAACCACTACAGTACGATGCAGTTGTTCTAGTACTTAGAATACCCCATTTAAACAAAATTATGGTTATTTTCTGAAGGGAGAATTTGGGGGAATATTAAGTGAATCTCACACATACGGCCAACGTAGCCAAACTGGAACAATTTTCCAAGTCGCCTTCCAGTTTGAATACTTTGGCCTTAAATTTGAAATTTATAACGAATAACTATGAATATCTCCATAAGGTGTGATTAACTCTGCATAGTTTAGCTTCACACAGGTGATTTTATACTATTTTGTTTAAAAGCAAACAGGTACATGTAGTAATTATGCTGGAATTGCTACATTTCTATTTAAATTAGCCGAACTCAAAAAATTCCCCCACTCAGCCTTTTTTTTTCTTTTCAGTTTAACTATTTTTGCCTGCAACTTGCAATTCTGCACAATGAATTAAGGTAATAAATCCTATGTGTAAGACACTCTCCATTTTATAAGTATTCCTATTGAAAGCAGTGAAGTGGCACGCATATACTTTAATATGAAAAGGTTACAGCTGTGGCAGACACTGAAGAGTGGTGGATACATGGAACGGCGTTCTAGCAGATGTGGTAGATTGTTATATATAAAAAAGCAAGTTTGGTAAAGGTGTTAGCGCTTTTGATAAGGGATGAAACCATTTTATCAAATTCATAAACATTTTGGATAGTTTTTTTTACCTGTAAGCCATCCAGTGCCAAGATCAATTTTTACAGTAGCCATTGTCCTTGTTTGAAGTTGCCCCTGTATGCGCACAGCAGACGGATGCCTGATAAAGCTTGTATTTGACATTTAAGAGGAGACACATTTGGAATACTGAGATCTGCGTTCTCTCACTTTTAAAGTGATTATTTTACATTTCACACTTGTTCAGTGTGACACTAAGACTGTGTGATCAATGTGATACAGATTATAATGATGCAAGTATTGTCAGGGGTATAAGGAATGCTTTACTATAAAGGTTATTCACTAAGGGGCTAATTCACCAAACTACGAACCGCAACACATTGAAATCAGAAATATAGGAGAAAATAGCCTATCTGGAAACATTCTCCAGCTCAGCTATGGTCACATCTCGGCTATTTTGGTCTCAGATTTAGCATCTGGATTTTAATATTCTACAATTCAAAGTTTAGTGTAAACCCCAAATTGTGAAAACATTGCGAATTCAATGTAAATCTTACATTTTAAGCAAAAATAGAATTAGCTGAAAGATAGCTAACTTTGAGAGTTATTTTAATCCAGCTATGTTGGACTAAGTCCCTTTGCCTTTCTTGAAGGGCTACAAGTGGTGTCGGTGCGTCGGTGCCTGGAGTTTCACTATGAAGCATGGCACATACAGAGTTTAACCCCTCGGCTGTCTGAGGTGTAATTTTAGCTCCAGCTGTGTCATTGGGGCATCATTATAGATTAAGGAACAGCATGCTCATAAAATACATTTCTACGTTTTATAAGGCTACCTATCACCTATCTCAGCAAACATATATGGAGATTCAGTTTCACCATATGGCCATATTGTGTTAAGCCGACCACTACGTTACTGTATCCTGATATCAGTGGGTCCTACACTACTAATTCTAACATGGGAAGCAAATGAAATAGTGCAGTGCCCGCCAGAGGCCCCTTTGGAGGTGACCACAGGTATATATTTGAGTTGGTTTTGGATAGTAACGTCACAATTATAATTTTCATTGAGCAGCTATATAACACGCATTGTGAGTATTTACATAAAAGGACTATCACTTTAATTGTTTAGTTTTGACACTTAATTTTTTTATTGCATTTATCACATTCACTTTTCACTATATATATATATCTCCGCCAGGCTTTTGTTTACTCACAATAAGACAGCCACTAGAGGCTCTAGAGGCTGGATTAACCATCAGTGTAAACATAGCAGTTTCTCTGAAACTGCTATGTTTATAAAAAAAAAAAAAAAAGGGTTAACCCTAGCTGAACCAGGCACCCAGACCACTTCATTAAGCTGAAGTGGTCTGGGTGCCTATAGTGGTCCTTTAAGTAAAGGCTATCCCTATAGTACCTCAGCACCGTGGATGAGCCACTAATGCCTACCTGAACCTCTGACCCATCCTCAGCTAAGGTAAAACAAACTTAAACTAACACAAAAATTGTGCATAGTGCTACCAAGTGAAGTGAGAAACAAAATAACAAACAATTAGCTCGACGCGCATCTGCTCCTGACGACAAACAAATATTAAACAAATATTAACGCTAACTTTGGCCAGTGTATGGCGTCACAGCATGCTGGTACCAGATAGCCAACACGTCCCACATCCCCAACAGTGCCCACATCCTCCCATCAGCCCACACTCACTGACAACCCTGCCCCACAGGCAAAGGGCGAGTGATTTTAATTTTTTTTTATATTTATTTGTTTATTTTAAGTTGGGAGTGCAGATCAGAACAGAAAGAGCTACTCTGACCAAAACCAGTGTTTTATGAAAACATAGGTATTTGGTTGGAGTATCTCTTTAAAAGATGTAGTCACTAAAATCTGAATTGTAGTAAATAAAAATCTGAATGGCAAGTGTCAATGATGATCTCAGCCAATCTAATGCTTCCCCACAGAAAAGCATTGGGAGGCTAGTGCGCATGCGCAGCAAAATGCCACGCCGTGCCAATCAGATGGTTTATTGAGACCATCTGACTAAAATGGAAGTTATACTCTGCTATTTTATGGAAGTGCCTTTAGTAGCTTTCCTATATATATTCCTGCAGAATGGCAATGTTTTCAACTGCAGCCAGGTTAATAGGGGGGCACATGGCACTCACACCACTATGAGATGAAGAGGTCTGGTTGCCTATACTGTCCATTTAATGTAGTATGTGCTGTGTGAAAGACTGCATTACAAATCCTGTGATTGTCAGATAATGAAAACCGCTTCAGTAGTAGTACTCTGCCCTTATAGCCAACTCACTGGCAAACCTTTAGTACTGCAGCATCCCTGGCCTACTAAAGGTCCCCTAACCAGCTGAGTATTATGGGAAATGTAATCCACAACATCTGCAGTGGAAAAGGCTAGCCATCACAGAAAGATGGGCATTTGCGTCCTAGCAAAACGTATATATTTTATTATTTGCAACAGATAAATACAAGCATTAAATGAGTCAGTGTCACTTTGAGGCACAAAACTCTTTATTATCAGGAACGAATATTACAATGGGGTAATATTAATGCTATAAAGTATATAACAGTCCAGTAATTAGTTACTCTTGGATAGTAATCGTCCTCTTGGTGACAGAACGATACGGACATAGGAACCATTGCAATGTCAAGGTGTGTAACATTGCAGGACGCGTGCTGTGATACATTGTGTTTTGTAGGACAGTGCAACAGTGTTGTTATATATACAGGGACAGTTGGACCTCAGTAGTGTCAGGGTTAGGAGCTGATGAGGTGAGGACCAGTACATTATCCGTTTTTGTTTTGTACACGGATGAGGCTGAGACACAGGCCACACGCTTCCCAGCATGGGTCGCACAGACAATGCACGCATGAGCTCCAGAACATCTTAAGACAGGACACATTCATCTTCCAGATGTGCACACAAGGTCCAATCATCCAGATGTGACAGCACTGAATGCAAGCGAAGTCCAGGGCCCAGCAGAAGGCCATTGGGCAGCCGCATAGTATGGACAGCACTATGTAACAGCAGTTCTTCACGCCGTTGAATGTCTTGAAGGACATACCCCATACCCCGTCAATACTGTGGGATCCATCAGGCTCTCCAAAGGCATCTTCGAAGAGGACCTGGTGAGAAAAGACAACAGTATAAGAAGACGAACATTGGAAACTAAATTGTGCTCTATTATCACTGGTGTCTGGTTCATATTTTAAAGAAACATTTAAAGCATCATAACCACTACAGCAAGAGTCCTGGAGCCCTCCCAACCCCTTCATCCAGGTCCTCCTTGCAGGAGAAGCTCAACTGCGCTAAGCTGCTCCATGCTGTGCTCATTGGCTGATCGTTTTGAGCATTGAGCGCAGTTCTGTATTAGCCATCGTTTAGCTTTCTGGAGATAAATAACTTCTCCTGCAGGAAAAGACTCGACACATGTGCTGCTTTCAATAGCATAATCTGTTATATGACTTAAATTACCATAACTAATTTTGGGAGCTCTCTGCTTAGCTATTCTTTTTCCCTATGACCGGTGGAACACAGAGAGACTGCGAGCTTAGCGACCACTGTAGTATCACCACAGCTCAGCCAGAATTACACACTATACACATGTACACAATGCCAGAGACACAGACACAGTCTGTGATAAATGCGTACAAACACAAATAGACACACTCAGCCCCCCCATACATCTCTCCTCCACACACACACAACACTCAGCCACTACACACACCACTCACAGAAACAGAGCACAGGGCTCTAGAAAGGGGCCACAATCTGGCACCCTTAATCCAGTTCTGATTAGACTCCATCCATTAAGTTGCATCACTGACGTGCCCACCAGGGCTCTCCCACCCAGGTGCACACCCTAATAAAAATGTACTGCGCACACCTCTGACTGTTAGAATTGCCTAGAATCCTGGCCTGTTAGTATGCATTGAGGACAGATTTTGAAATCACTGCATTGAACAACATTATGATTTATTATTATTCAACAATGGACTTTAAGAAATGCTTGGATTTTACAGGGGAAAAAAAACTTCTATTGCTAATACTCGTACAATACATAATAAACATGGCCTGTGACAGCAACTATATATGCAAAATAATAATAAAAAAAATAAAAAAAAGAGTCTAGAGCAATAAATTAAAAAACAATTTTATTGTTAAACATAATCCCTCCTGTGTAAAGTCCTTATTTGGCATTGGCAGTTTTATGTAAATCCCTGTGATATAAGGTTCTTTTTCTGAATCGGATCTATGGAACCAGATTGCTGTGGACACTATACGTTATTAACTAAACACCAATTTGAATTATAAACTGATAATTTAGGCAAACATTTTTGTGCAGTTTTTTGGAAGTTGTACCACCTCTATATAAAGTGCATTAATGAAAAGTACAACTAAAATGAAAATGAAAAACTAATAAAGATTGTCAAAAATATTTTTTTAAAAGGGCATTAATGGATCTTAGCGTTGCTCACTGAGATGCACCACAAGTGATTATATACTTCCCAGAGCTAGATAATATTCTGCTAAAATAATATTCCATCCATGAGTAATATACCAAGACACCCACAACTCCACATGTCCCTCTCTGGAAACCCACAAGGACCTCAACACCACCTTTGGTGCTATACTCACCCTGACATGCTCATTCATGTTATTGGGGTCACGGTTTTCCATATCTAAAGGCATGGGCTCGCTCTGCATGGATTTTGGCTCAGCCATGATGCTTGGAGAAATGCCCTGCAGTTAGGGGAGGCCTGACTCTGTCTCTCCTGGCTCTGGCTCCCCAACACTGTATTTATAGCTGGAGGCTGAGGTTTCCATGGGACTGAGCATCAAACAGCCCGGCCCTGACCCATAGTTACTCTACACACCCCTAAGCAAAACCTGCCTGGGCTGTTATGGAAACCATTGTGAATACAGGCTGATGGGGACTGACAGCAGAGCAGGGAATCTCTGTGAATTTAAAACTGAATCTGACCATATATCTGAACTGAAAAGAAATCAGAAACTGGGCTTTAATCCTAAATTGGCTACCTTATAAATTAGATTTAAAAATGTATTTACGGTTTAGTGAATAAACTTAATTGACAGTTTAGTGAAAACCCCTAAACACCGAATTGTGGTGAATTACCAAACTCAGTAAATATTGTTAAATGGATATATTCTCCAAATTAGCCGTTTTGTTACAGCCTACATTTTGCAATTCTATAAACATAATATTATTTATGGTTTCTTCTAAATCCCAGGTTATCACTGGTTGCTGTAGGACTGAGTAACTGTAACTCAGCAAACACCAGCCATGGGGGCTTTGGTGCTTTCCAAAATCCAATGCAACTGGTAGTCAGTAACTCCTTTTCCATAACACTGAATGTTCCTACTCGTAGATGAAAATATAGCACAAGCTCTTTTCTGTTGATAGGTCTACAGTTCTCTAAACAGCGAAGAGCAGACCACCATCAAAGGAACAATATAAACGAAAAACCTTAATATGGATGGCTGAAGCCCACCGTCTCACACGAAAAATACATTGGAGCCCCCTTCTCCTTTGGAAACTGAGGGGACCATTGATTGATCTCTCTTTGAAAAGCAAACGAGTACCATTAGGTAGGCTTCCTCAGGAAAATGTTAAAGTGCAGGGATAAGACAAGGGCCCTGAAACCTTTGGGAGGGGGCAAACTAGTAACCTGTCTCGAACCATCTGAGATATTAATCCTCCTCTGGGCCCACTCCAATTGGGTCCAGCATTCATAACTCCCAATGTTGTGAGATCTGTATTATGGGTTTGCTTTGTAGACTATGGATCCACCAAGTCTTCTTGTCCACATATAACAGTACAAAGGGATGCCTAGCTCCTCGGCTTAATTATTTAAAGGGACACTATAGGGTCAGGAACACAAACATGTATTCCTAATCCTATGGTGTTAAAATCACTATCTAGCACCCCTCTCCCCTCTTGCCTCACAAAATATAGTAAAATATTCTTTGTATTCAAGTCTGCAGCTGCTGCCTCTGCCCATGACCTGCCTGCTTGCCTGACATCAGCAGAAGTGATTATGTGAGCCAATCACAATGCTTTCCAATAGGATCAGATCAGGGGCAGAGCTAGCACAAGTCAAACACAGCCCTGGCCAATAAGCATCTCATCAGAGATGAATTAAATCAATGCATATCTATGAGGAAAGTTTAGTGTCTCCATGCAGATGAATCCTGTAATCTAGCACCGGGTGCAGTTTCTGGGCTACTTTCCACACCTCATCTGATATGACCGCTGCCATCAGTAGTTCAGCTCAAATGCTTCTCATTTGATTGGACTGTTTCACCATCTCAGAGGACATGCACACACTCTGAGACAAGGAGGTGGGGAAGGAGTGCATAGAGTGAGGGGAGTTCAAGGCTTCCCCTTTGCAGGTTCGCCTCCAGCGTTGCAAGGGAGAAACTCGTTACAACTATTACCAGCTCGCTGCTGAAAACAGATGGATTTTGTGTACAGAATTCACGTTAGGCAGCCCAGAACAGAACTCGCACCCGACACAAAAGTGCAAATATCTCTGAATGTACAGTTCAAGCCGCACATACCACTACTAAAAGCAGAAGTGGTCATGGAAAAAATTTATTTTTTGGGACAATGCACTGCAAAACATATCACTCTAACATGCTAACAGGCAGTGCTTGGAAAGTGTTACCCTGCCGTCCATAGCATGCTGGAGGAGGAAGATCAGTTACCTAATCAATGCAACTCCTTTGGGACTTCTCCTTGACTGATGAATTAATCTCCTCTTCCAATTGAATTTTATGTACTAGACTACAGCATTTTTTCGATTGATGCTAGAGTTGCCAGATCCACCATGTTTCCTTGGACATCTATCACTTTCACTGAGTTTCAGGAAAACATGGTGGATCTGTAAATTCTAACTGGAGCAATCATCGGTTTGGTTTTCAAATGGGAAAACTCATATGGTGTCCTTGGGGACTTGTTTCAATTTATGTTAGTACTGTAGCAGAGTGTGTCCCTCTGTTAAGTCTGGGATATAGTTAGCTATAGTTGTGTTCCTCACATGGTGAGTAAGAGGGACTAGGAAATGACAACTAATAACTTATTTGGACCAAGATGAGGGAGTTATTCAAGAATATTTTACTACGCATTAGAACAGGGGCCTATTGTTGCTGTACTTACCCAATCGATGCGCTGCTCCTGCCTTACTCCTGTTGTGCGTGTCATTCGGAAAGTACTTCCTCCTGGTTATCATCAGCCTTCCCGATCAGCCTTTACATTAGGACTTCCCAAACGCACTGAACGCGTCAAACAGGAGGCAAATGCCATGACACATACTAATAAAGAGAGGAACGCTGCACGCTCGAGTCGCCCCTCTGTTTATACTGATATGATATCTAGCAGCATTTCCAATTCAGGCAGTGACACATCATCACTGCGACCCTGTTCCTGCACTTTTTGGGATTGCAGTGGTGACATGGACCAAACAGTGGCCATCATAGGGTTCGAATAAAGATTTTGCCCCAATTGTCATTGCCCTGTCGTGGTTTCCTCTTGATACCTTAGTATAGTGTGTTAAAATATTCCCTGATTTTCTGGTTCTTTGATTTTTTCTTGTTAACCGACTCTTCTGACTTCTCTAATTCTGACTTGGCTAGTTATATCATATTTCTGGTATCCTGATCTTTGCTTGTTTTACATTTACAGTTTCTCTAATTTTTATGATAAACCCAGCCATTCTAAGATCCGTAAATATGTCCTTCCTGTGGACTTAATCCTGACCTATGTTTGTAAGTTGGATAGGGGAGTCACAATGCATAACCTTTGTCACTGGCCTTCATTTAAATTGTAGCAAGGCAAATTCCAAGTACCAACACTTGCCCCCTCATGCTGTGGATGCCCATACATCATACCTCAGCACAAGACACTGAAAACGTGGTCAAAAATGAGTTGTGATAAACTGAAAACCAAATTTCTAAATTCAGGATAAAATAGCCAATCTGTGAAACTTGCAGTTGGTTTTCAGTTCCTTACCTGTAAATAAACTGTAATTTCTTCACGGGCTATTTTCTTGATGCAGGAATTAAAGGGACACTCCAGGCACCAAAACAACTTAGATTTTAAAAGCTAGTGGTTACTGTGTCCAGTGCGCTTATAAATTTAGTACCGTGATATGCAAGCAGCTATACACTCTAGTGGGTGTTCTCCTTCCTCCACTCAACATAAAAGTGAACCAAAGTGAATCTAGTATGAACTGGATAGAAATCCAGACCTTACTAGTCAAATGAGTGGAGCGCTGTATATTTTCACTTACCCTAATTTAGGGTTAAATCTCAGATGTATGTTGATACATAGAAGTAAAGAAAACACAATACAACACAATATAGTGTAAGACAGATTTACACTATATTGTGTTGTATTGTGTTTTCTTTACTTCTATGTATCAACATACATCTGAGATTTAACCCTAAATTAGGGTAAGTGAAAATATATAGCGCTCCACTCATTTGACTAGTAAGGTCTGGATTTCTATCCAGTTCATACTAGATTCACTTTGGTTCACCAAAACAACTTAATCCAAATGAAATTGTTGCGGTGCTAGAAGGCACCTGGAGGCACTCTTACCTAAAGGAGTTAAACTGTTTTCGAAATGTCCACTCCTCCTGGTTTGGAAAGAAACTCACTTTTTCCAAGCCAGTTTTGTGAATGAGGAGTCATTGATTGGCTATCAGTCAATCAGCAGCGCCACTGCCTGAAAGAACTCCGCGCTCCTGGATCGGAGATTTCAGAAGCTGTAATGCCGCTGGGGAGGAGTGGATAACGCACTGGACTCAACTTTAGGGTTTAACTGTTCGAGAACGGTTTAACCCCTTGAGGTAAGAGTGCCTCGAGCAGGCCTCCTGGCACCATAACAATTTAATTAGATGAAATTGTTTATGTACCTGGAGTGTCACTTTAGTTCACTCAAATTATTTGTTGGAGAACCATTCCAATGAAATTGAAAATACAATCTCTTGAAACTTCTAAATTGTTTTGCAAACTATGTTTTTCTAAATATAAAATAAGCAAATACTACTTTTTAAATATAGTGGTTCTTTATACCACAAGCAATCACACAATGAGTATGGATGCGAGGACATCTGTTAACAACAGACTAGAGAAATCCAGGGGCCTTAGAAAACATACTTTAAATTGTATATGGTCAGATAATATGATGCTACCGTATCACTGGGGAGATTGTAAATAGAATTACAGACAAATTTCTTATATCCTTAAGCTACCTGTCATGAGTTTCTCACAAATAATAATTACGCAAAAAAGTTCCACTGATCTTTTTTGCGTTCTCATGTTAAAGGGACACTATAATCACCCAGACCACTTCAGCTCAATGAAGTGGTCTTGGTGCCAGGTCCCTCAGGTTTTAACCCTTCAGATGCAAACATAGCAGTTTCAGAGAAACTGCTATGTTTACATTTGGGGTTAATCCAGCCTCTAGTGGCTATCTTCCTGACAGGTGCTAGAGGCGCTTCTGCGAGGCTGGATGCGAATTTCACATCCATCGAGCAGAGCGTCCATAGGTAAGCATTGAGAAATGCTTTCCTATGGACTCTTTGAATGTGCCGCGCATTCCACTCCACTAGTCAGCTGACGTCGGACAGGGAGGAGAGGTCACCAGTGCCGAGGGAGCCCGGCGCTGGATAAAGGTAAGCTGCTGAAGGGTTTTTTTTCAGCTCCAAAAAAGGCCAAATAAAAAATCCATAATAACCGACTCACTTAAAAAAAAAAAAAAAACAAGCGCAAAAAATAATAATCCATCTTCACCCATGGAGGGCTTTGTGCAGACTGAGCTCTGCAGGGCGGGGGAAGGCG